CTGCAAGAGGAGCACACGGAAGGGGAGCACTGTGGAAAGGAAAACACACCCCACCTCACCCACTCAGCCCACAGCACACGAGGGCCATAAAATCACCTCACTGATGACATCACACCTCTCCTGGGCTCGGCTTGTTTCTTCAACCCTCCATGACACACATCCAACAGTCCAACCCTCCCCAAAACCAACTCCTCAAAGCTGCCGCCAAGGTCAGATGGACGCGGCCTCAAGGGCAGGACATGGAATCCCAGAATTCCACAAAGGAACATCTGCAAAATGACAGAAGAGGAGAGCAGAGCCCACTGACCATCCACTAATTATAGTTTTTGCTCACAGCTGCAGGATGTTACAACTGACGGGTTATACGTTATGAAACCTCCTGGCTTGAATGCGGAAGAAGGGACAGGAAATCCCAGACCAGCCTGGGCAAAAAGGGATCGAGCACAATTTGGTGTTTATTTATTGTATTTCCTCAGAAGGTCAAGAAATAAAGTTTAAATGACCAAGTACCTTGTCATGAAAATTTCAGAAATCCAAATGGACCACAGGAATGGAACCGGACCAGCCTGAATTCAGCCTGAACAGCCTCAAGGTTTCCAGGTCATCTCTCTTGATCTCATTGATGATTCCAGGGGATGAGCTCTCTTTCATCCCTCAAGAATTGCTCCAAAGGACTATGACCTTTCTAAGCTGATAGAGAGTGGCCTCCCCAGGACACCAAATGGCTCCCTCAGCATTCCTGGGTGCGACACAAGGACTGATGGACATCCAGTCACACAGAAAAAGAGGATCAACAATTCTCAACACGTCCACAAACCACAGCACATGAGGGCCACAAAATCACCTTACTGATGACACCACACCACTCCTGGGCTCTGGTTGTTTATTCAGCTCTCCTTGACACACATCCAACAATCCAACCCTCCCAAATCCCAACTCCTCAAAGCTGCCGCCAGCTGACAGGGCTGGGCCAAGGCTGTGCCGCCCCTGCGGGAGCAGCATAAAAGCCGGCCCAGCGCCTCTCTCCCTGCCACGCTTCTCCTCAAGCCTTCTCCTGCCTTCTCTGCCCACAACCAGGTGAGCCTCCAGCCCCTCACAACCCCCTCCTGCTCCTGACACACCGCCCCCCTGGCCCCTCTCGGCCAGCACGCTCGGACCCAGCCTCAGCAGCCCTCACGCCTCCCCACAGCCCCACACCAGCCTCCCCACTCACCAGCCCTCCTGCAACACTGCCCCGAGCACCCCCACCACCCCCACCTGCCGAGCACCCCTCTCTGCTCTCACCTTCTCTCCCCTTCTCTTGCCTGCCCTCCCAGGGCCCCTCCACACCACACCCATGGCCTGCTACGACCTCTGCCGCCCCTGCGGACCCACCCCGCTGGCCAACAGCTGCAACGAGCCCTGTGTCAGGCAGTGCCAGGACTCCACCGTCCTCATCCAGCCCTCCCCCGTCCGCGTCACCTTCCCAGGGCCCATCATGACCTCCTTCCCCCAGAGCTCCTTCGTTGGATCCACCGCAGGGGCTGCCCTGGGCACGGAGCTCAACGTCCAGGGACAGCCCATCTCCGGCGGCTTTGGGGCCAGAGGCTACGGCCTGGGCTATGGCCGTGGCTTTGGTTACGGCCTGGGAGGCCTGGGCTGCTCTGGCTTGGGAGGCCTGGGCTGCTCCGGCACCTGCTGAGGGTCCTTGCCATCACAGCTGACACCCCTGCACCTGCCCTTCTCACTCTTGCACCAATATCTCCTGCAAGCAAAGCACCTCGGCTGATGGTCGCCCTACTTGCACCTCACACCGCATCCCTCCCATTTGTTCCTCTTCTCTCTTCACTCTTTTGACTCAATAAACTTCTCCTGCATTAAAGCCTGAGATGTCTCTACCTCCGTTATTGTACCAGAGCTTTTCCAATTTCACCCCTTACACAGCCAGGCCTCAACAGGCCATTGGGTTGGGTCGAAAAGGGGTACGAGACCCCTCCTAGGAAATATCTCACCACCACCAGCAGCAGCACTGACTGGCTCCTGCGGGTCTGTCACAAAGTTACACCACCCCATCACTCATCACACTCAGGCTTTGACATGACAACACTCCCTGGCACACCCCAACCCTTTGCTCCCTCCCCAAACACCCCCAGTCCCTCTTACACCATCTCCCCTCACACACACGTCCCAGGACCACCCACACAAGGCCCCATGTCCTTGTCCCCTCGTGCTCCAAGGACCTTGGGGAACCCATGCAGGCTGTCCAGCTCACCACCCACCCTTCCACAGGGTCCTCAGCTCACCCAGCTCTGGGCCCTTGTTGCACTGTCCCTCTGGCTGCCCGCTCCCCATTCCTCCTGCCTGGGAGTCCCCGGGCCAGGATCTCACCTTGTTGTGGGTCTTCAAATGATCCCTGGTGGAGATGGCCCGGCCACCATCCCCTGCTCACTGCAGGGCCCCACAGGGACCCATTCCGGGGGTCTCTGCACCACCAGCCTCCCTCTCCAGGGGCCCTGCATCACCTGTGCACGTGACCCCAAGCCCCCATCCCTCTGCTCTCACGTCCCACAGCAAGTCCCCTTTGTGAGGTCACCGTCACTGGGCATTCCTCAGGCACAGCCTGGAGACCTTGGAACCAGGGGCAGGGACAAGCCTGGGACCCTGCTCTGCTGACAATTTGGGGCTCTGCGGGGTTGGGGTTGATCTTTGCAGGACACCAAGTGCCCACCAAGCCCCTCTCTCAATCCCTTCCCTCCAGTGGACAAAAGAGAGAAGAAGATGGAGAAAGGCTCCTGAGTGCAGTTAAGGACAGGGAGATCAGTCACCAATCACCATTGTGGGCAAAACAGACTCCACCCAGGGAAATTCATTTAATTCCTTACAAATCAAATTGTAGAGTAAGATAATGGGACAGAAAACCAAACTTTAAATACCTTCCCTTCACCCCTCCCTTCAGCCAGGCTCAACTTCACTCCCCAGTTCTCTGCCCCCTCTCCCCAAGTGGCTCAGGGCAATGGACAAGGTGGCTTGGGGTCAGTTCATCCCACCTTGGTTTTGCTGTTCCTTCCTCCTCACACTCTGCCCCTGCTCCAGCGTGGGCTCCATCCCACACACACAGTCTCCAACGGGGGCCTTCCCATGGGCTGCATTTCCATACAAACGGCTCCAGCCTGGCTCCCTCCCACGGGCTCAGGCCTTCAGGAACACGCTGCTCCAACGTGGCTCTGGAGGGGCTCCCAAGTTCTGACAACAAACCTCCTCCATGGCGGGCTCCTCTCTCCAGGGGGCCACAGGTCCTGCCAGGAGCCTGCTCCAGCTCGCCCTCCCCACGGCCTCACAGCCTCTTTGGGCACTCCCTGGCTCTGCTGGCAGCTCCTCCTGGGGCTGCAGCTGCATCTCTGCTCCACCCTGCACCTCCAGGGGCTGCGGGGGGACAGCCTCACCCACCATGCTCTGCTCCACGGGCTGCACAGCACATTCTGCTACAGCCCCTGGGCCACCTCCTCCCCTCCCTCGGCACTGCCCTTCATCACCCCACACTTCTTCCTCTCCCATGGTTTCTCTCTTCCAGCTCCTCTGGAGCACTAATTGTGCCCCTTCCAGAACAGGCTGTGATCACAGAATCCCTGCATCATCCAGGATTGCCTCTGCTTTGTCCAGCAGCTGATCCAACATGGATCCAGTGGGAACTTGCTGTGTCAGACACCAGGGAAGCTTCTGGAACCTTCTCCCAGAAGCCACACCTGCAGAACTCTTGAGACCAAAACCTTGTCAGCTGAACCTGAGACACTCAGATCCAACCTTAACAGCAGTAGAGGCAACCAGGCCCCCAGAGAGCACACCCAGTGGGCAAGGCTGAGCCTAAAACCAGGCTGGGTGAGCTGGGAGAAAGCTGGAGAGGAATCCAACAAAATGGAAGGAGAAGCCCCTCACGCCCGGCACAAACTCTTCTTTGGACGCTCGTCTTCAACCAGAGCACAAGCCCTGTGACCCCAAAGGGTCAACTTGCTGACAGCAGAGCACAGCCAGTGACAAAGGCCAGGCTCAAAGACAGGCTCAGTGAGCTGGCAGTGAGGCTGGAAGGAAGGAATGGGATTGAAGGGGCAGCCCCTCACACCCGGCACGGCTGCACAGCCCAGACCAGCCCGACAGGGCTCAGAGGGAATGGGGCCCCTCTAAACAACTCACCCACAAACCACAGCCCCCGAGGGACACGGGGTGACCTCACTGATGACACCCCACCTCTCCAGTGCTTTGCTCACATCAGACAAATGCCCTGACCCCCATATTTCATGTAAATCCTCCCAACAACCAACTCAGCAAAGCTGCCCCCAAGGTCAGATGGACGCGGCCTCAAGGGCAGGACATGGAAGCACAGAATTCCACAAAGGAACATCCGCAAAATGACAGAAGAGGAGAGAGGAGCTCACTGACCATCCACTAGTAATTATAGTTTTTGCTCACAGGCACAGGATGTTACAACTTAGGAGTTATACATTGTGAAATCTCATGGCTTGAATGCAGAATAAGGGAATTGGCATCAAAGACCAGCCAGGGCAAAAAGGGATCGAGCCCCGTTGGTGTTTGCTTAATGCATCTCTTCAGGAGGTCAAGAAATAAAGTTTAAATAGCCAAGTATGTCGTGATGAAAATTGCAGAAATCCAAATGGACCACAGGAATGGAACCGGACCAGTCTGAATTCAGCCTGAACAGCCTCAAGGTTTCCAGGTCCTCTCTCTTGATCTCAATCACGATTCCAGGGGATGAGCTGTTTTTCATCCCTCCAGAAGTGCTCCAAAGAACCATGATCTTTCCAAGCTGATGGAGAGTGACCTCCCCAGGACATCAAATGGCTCCCTCAGCATTCCTGGGTGCGACACAATGACTGATGGACATCCAGTCACACAGAAGAAGAGGAGGCCCAGTCAGCACAAAGCACCCACAAACCACAGCACAAGAGGCCACAAAATCACCTCACTGATGACATCACACCTCTCCTGGGCTCTCATTCTTTATTCAGCCCTCCCTGACACACATCCAACAATCCAACCCTCCCAAATCCCAACTCCTCAAAGCTGCCGCCAGCTGACAGGGCTGGGCCAAGGCTGTGCCGCCCCTGCGGGAGCAGCATAAAAGCCGGCCCAGCGCCTCTCTCCCTGCCACGCTTCTCCTCAAGCCTTCTCCTGCCTTCTCTGCCCACAACCAGGTGAGCCTCCAGCCCCTCACAACCCCCTCCTGCTCCTGACACACCGCCCCCCTGGCCCCTCTCGGCCAGCACGCTCGGACCCAGCCTCAGCAGCCCTCACGCCTCCCCACAGCCCCACACCAGCCTCCCCACTGACCAGCCCTCCTGCAACACCGCCCCGAGCACCCCCACCGCCCCCACCTGCCGAGCACCCCTCTCTGCTCTCACCTTCTCTCCCCTTCTCTTGCCTGCCCTCCCAGGGCCCCTCCACACCACACCCATGGCCTGCTACGACCTCTGCCGCCCCTGCGGACCCACCCCGCTGGCCAACAGCTGCAACGAGCCCTGTGTCAGGCAGTGCCAGGACTCCACCGTCCTCATCCAGCCCTCCCCCGTCCGCGTCACCTTCCCAGGGCCCATCATGACCTCCTTCCCCCAGAGCTCCTTCGTTGGATCCACCGCAGGGGCTGCCCTGGGCACGGAGCTCAACGTCCAGGGACAGCCCATCTCCGGCGGCTTTGGCTACGGAGGCTACGGCCTGGACTATGGCCGTGGCTTTGGCTACGGCCTGGCAGGCCTGGGCTGCTCTGGCCTGGCAGGCCGGGGCTGCTCCGGCACCTGCTGACCGTCCTTGCCATCACAGCTGACACCCCCTGCATCTGCCCTTCTCACTCTTGCACCAATATCTCCTGCAAGCAAAGCACCTCGGCTGATGGTCGCCCTACTTGCACCTCACACCTCGCCCATCCCACTCCCTGCTCCTGTCTCTTCACTCCTTTGACTCAATAAAATTCTCCTGCATCAAAGTCTCTCAGGCCTCCTCTTTTTTCATTCCGGTGGTTTTACATCCTCACTCGGCACAAGGCCAGGGCTCTACAGCCAGTGAGAATCTGGGAAAAGGCCACAACACCTTTCTTAGCAAATCTGTCACCAGCACGAACACAGACGGGCAACGGAACAGGGGTGGAGGGGCCCTGCCACAACATGGCACAAACCCATCACCTGCCACACCAAAGGCTTCCACACAACAAGGCTCTCCTGCACACGCCTCTGCCAAAGTCTCTCTACTCCAGCACACACTGCACAAACTCTCTTCCCCACCACGACTCTTCAACCTGCCCAGCACAGACACAACATCAGCCACTGGGCCAGGATGCAGTGCAAGTGCTTCAACCCTCCTGCTCAAACCAACCCCGCAAGAGCAGCTTGGCCAGGACCATGGCCAGTTCAGCGTTACAGCTCCAGGCACACAGACTCCACCTCCTCTGCCACTCTCTCACCTCCCTCACACACAACAAGGCTTGTCTTCTTTCTCCATGCAATTCCATCGGTTTCCCTTGTGTCCAGGGCCCCTTGTCCTGCCCGTGTGTTCTGCTGACAAGAGCTGGGCTCTCTCCACTTCAGTCCCTGCCAGCAGGGATTCACACACACTCAGGACACTCCCCTGGCCAGCCCTGTCTCCTGCCAGTCCCAGCTCTCTCAGCCTCTCCTCTATCCAACATCCTCTGCCCTCTTTAGAATCTTGATGCTCCTGAACTGCTCTGCATTCCCCAAGTCCATCAGCTTCTTCCACTGGGGAGCCCAGCACTGCCCACAGACCTCACATGGCACATCACCAGTGCTGAGGAGGCAGCAAGAGTCACCTCCCACTGCTTGATCACACCTTGCCCAGTCCTCACCTGCAGACTTCTTTTCCCACACTGGTTCATGGCCACCTCTTGGGCCATTTGTTCTCCACCAGGAACACAAAATCAGGTCGTAATAAGAGATTAATTCTATGAAAACAGTTGATCCAGTTGATCTCCAGCCTTTCCTCCTCCCTGGGCTGACCCCTCCCCACAAACAGGACTTGGCCCCTGCCCTTGCTCAACTCCAGGACGTGGCCATGGCCATCACCACTCATCTTTGCAGTCTTGGCCCAATGGATGCAGCTGCTGGGCTACAGCACTGCACACTTGTTCCCATCTGCACTTTGGCACACTCAGCCCAAGGCTCTGGGCCCAGCCCTGCACACACTTCTCACCCCACCACACTGGGCACTGACACAGCCCGGCCTTGTTTGCACTCTCTGGCATCACACAATGCTTGTGTCCAACAACCCTGGACACCTCCAAATCCTCTTGCTGTCCTTCAGACAGAAAAGATGCCCAGAGCAGGGACCTCGCTCCCTGCCACTCAGCCCAGGACAGGGCCCAAAAGGCCCCAGCTATCAAAACCTTCAAAGCAGGAGGGGCACCAAAACCCCCAGAGAGCACAGTCAGCAGGAAAAGTCAGGTCCAGTGTCAGGCTTAGCCAGGTGGAAGCAAAGGGGAGAGGAACAGAAGGTGAGGGAAGGGGCAACACGTGTGAAACTCCAGAGCAGCCTGACAGGGCTGGGATGCTTTGGGGCCCCTCCTCACAACACACCCCCAAACCACAGCACACCAGGGACACGGGGGCACCTCACTCATCACACCCCACCTCTCCAAAGCTTTGCTCACATCTTCAGCCCTCCCTGACACGCACCATCAACTCCAGACTTTGCCCTCTAAGACTCACAATTCAAACCTGCTGCCAAGGTCAGATGGACACGGCCTCAAGGGCAGGACATGGAATCACAGAATTTCACAAAGCAATGTCCACACCATGACACAAGAGGAGAGAGGAGCCCACTGAACAATCACTAGTAGTTATAATTTTTTATTCACAGGTACAGGATGTTACAACTTACAGGCTCAAAGTTAGGAAACCTCCTGGCTTGAATGCGGAAGAAGGGAACTGGCGTCACAGACCAGCCTGGGCAAAATGGGATGGAGCCCCATTGGCTCTTTCTTTATTGTATTTCTTCAGGAGCTCAAGAAATAGAGTTTAAATGACCAAGTATGTTGTGACGAAAATTTCACAAATCCAAGTGGACCATAGGAATGGAACCGGACCAGCCTGAATTCAGCCTGAACAGCCTCAAGGTTTCCAGGTCCTCTCTCTTGATCTCAATCACGATTCCAGGGGATGAGCGCTCTTTCATCCCTCAAGAATTGCTCCAAAGGATTATGACCTTTCAAAAATGATGGAGAGTGACCTCCCCAGGACATCAAATGGCTCCCTCAACATTCCTGAGTGCGACACAATGACTGATGGACATCCAGACACACTGAAGAGGGGGCCCAGTCAGCACAAAGCACCCACAAACCACAGCACACAAGAACCACAAAATCACCTCACTGATGACATCAAACATCTCCTGGGCTCATTCTTTATTCAGCCCTCCCTGACACACATCCAACCATCCAACCCTCCCAAATCCCAACTCATCAAAGCTGCCACCAAGGTCAGACGGACACGGCCTCAAGGGCAGGACATGGGATGAAAGAACTCCACAAAACCACAGCACGGGAGTGACATCAGGTGACCTCACAGAGGACACCCCACCTCTCCTGGGCAGTGTCTGCACCTGCCAAGTGCCCCCACAAGCACATTCCAGGCACAACCTCCCAAATACCAACTCTCCCTTCAAAGCTGCCGCCACAAGGACACGTCTGCAAGAGGAGCACACGGAAAGGGAGCACTGTGGAAAGGAAAACACACCTCACCTCACCCACTCAGCCCACAGCACACGAGGGCCATAAAATCACCTCACTGATGACATCACACCTCTCCTGGGCTCGGCTTGTTTCTTCAGCCCTCCCTGACAAACAGCCAACAATCCAACCCTCCCAAACACCAACTCCTCAAAGTTGCTGCCAAGGTCAGATGGACGCGGCCTCAAGGGCAGGACATGGAACCACAGAATTCCACAAAGGAACATCTGCAAAATGACAGAAGAGGAGAGAGGAGCCCACTGACCATCCACTAGTAATTATAGTTTTTGCTCACAGGTACAGGATGTTAAAACTTAGGAGTTATACATTGTGAAATCTCATGGCTTGAATGCGGAATAAGGGAACTGCCATCACAGACCAACAGGGGCAAAAAGGGATCCAGCCCAGTTGGGTGTTTGTTTATTGCATTTCTTCAGAAGGTCAAGAAATAAAGTTTAAATGACAAAGTACCTTGTCATGAAAATTTCACAAATCCAAATGGACCATAGGAATGGAACTGGACCAGCCTGAATTCAGCCTGAACAGCCTCAAGTTTTCCAGGTCCTCTCTCTTGATCTCAATCATGATTCCAGGGCATGAGCTCTCTTTCATCCCTCAAGAATTGCTCCAAAGGACTATGACCTTTCCAAGTTGATGGAGAGTGACCTCCCCAGGACATCAAATTGCTCCCTCAGCATTCCTGGGTACAACACAACGACTAATGGACATCCAGTCACACTGAACAAGAAGATCCACAATTTTCAACACATCCACGAACCACAGCACACGAAGGTCACAATATCACCTCACTGATGACATCACACCTCTACGAGGCTCTTATTCTTTATTCACCCCTCCCTGATACTCATCCAACAATCCAACCCTCCCAAATCCCAACTCCTCAAAGCTGCCGCCAGCTGACAGGGCTGGGCCAAGGCTGTGCCAAGGCTGTGCCGCCCCTGCGGGAGCAGCATAAAAGCCGGCCCAGCGCCTCTCTCCCTGCCACGCTTCTCCTCAAGCCTTCTCCTGCCTTCTCTGCCCACAACCAGGTGAGCCTCCAGCCCCTCACAACCCCCTCCTGCTCCTGACACACCGCCCCCCTGGCCCCTCTCGGACAGCACGCTCGGACCCAGCCTCAGCAGCCCTCACGCCTCCCCACAGCCCCACACCAGCCTCCCCACTGACCAGCCCTCCTGCAACACCGCCCCGAGCACCCCCCCCGCCCCCACCTGCCGAGCACCCCTCTCTGCTCTCACCTTCTCTCCCCTTCTCTTGCCTGCCCTCCCAGGGCCCCTCCACACCACACCCATGGCCTGCTACGACCTCTGCCGCCCCTGCGGACCCACCCCGCTGGCCAACAGCTGCAACGAGCCCTGTGTCAGGCAGTGCCAGGACTCCACCGTCCTCATCCAGCCCTCCCCCGTCCGCGTCACCTTCCCAGGGCCCATCATGACCTCCTTCCCCCAGAGCTCCTTCGTTGGATCCACCGCAGGGGCTGCCCTGGGCACGGAGCTCAATGTCCAAGGACAGCCCATCTCCGGCGGCTTTGGGGCCGGAGGCTACGGCCTGGGCTATGGCCGTGGCTTTGGCTACGGCCTGGGAGGCCTGGGCTGCTCTGGCCTGGCAGGCCTGGGCCTGCGCCGGCACCTGCTGGACGTCCTTGCCATCAAACGCTGATCACCCACTGCACCTTGCCCTTCTCACTCTTGCCACACAATATCTTCTGCAAGCAAAGCACCTCGGCTGATGGTCGCCCTACTTGCACCTCACACCGCATCCACCCCACTCCCTGCTCCTCTCTCTTCACTTGTTTCACTCAATAAACTTCTCCTGCATCAAAGCCTGAGACGCCTCTGCCTCCTTTATTCTACCAGGGATTTTACAACTTCACCCCCTACACAGCCAGGCCTCAACAGGCCAGTGGGGTGGGTGGAAAAGGGCCACAAGACCCCTCCTAGGAAATATCTCACCACCACCACCAGCAGCAGCACTGACTGACTCCTGAGGGTCTGTCACAAAGTTACACCAGCCCATCACTCATCACACTCAGGCTTTGACATGACAACACTCCCTGGCACACCCCAACCCTTTGCTCCCACCACAGACACCTCCAGTCCCTCTTACACCATCTCCCCTCACAGACACGTCCCAGGACCACCCACACAAGGCCCCATGTCCTTGTCCCCTCGTGCTCCAAGGACCTTGGGGAACCCATGCAGGCTGTCCAGCTCACCACCCACCCTTCCACGGGGTCCTCAGCTCACCCAGCTCTGGGCCCTTGTTGCACTGTCCCTCTGGCTGCCCGCTCCCCATTCCTCCTGCCTGGGAGTCCCTGGGCCAGGATCTCACCTTGTTGTGGGTCTTCAACTGATCCCTGGTGGAGATGCCCCGGCCACCATCCCATGCTCACTGCAGGGCCCCACTGGGACCCATTCCGGGGGTCTCTGCACCACCAGCCTCCCTCTCCAGGGGCCCTACATCACCTGTGCACGTGACCCCAAGCCTCCATCCCTCTGCTCTCACGTCCCACAGCAAGTCCCCTTTGTGAGGTCACCGTCACTGGGCATTCCTCAGGCACAGCCTGGAGACCTTGGAACCAGGGGCAGGGACAAGCCTGGGACCCTGCTGGGAAGATGCAGCTCCTGAGAGGCTGCACCATCACATTCCCTTGTGCCACCTTCCTGCCTCTCTCCTTCCCAGCTTGGACACTGAAACATGGAGTTTTGGGTCCTAAAGATCTTTGGCTGCCCCAAATTGCTTCTCACCAGTGATGTTCCCTCTTTCTCCTCCCTTGATGTGCTTATTTTTTCTCTTTATAATGGCTCCTGGCAAACAGGTGAGCTCTGGGCTGACACAGGAGCTCAGAGTCTCCAGGGCTGATGACAGCACTAAAATATTCATCAAAAGCCAATTAAAATAACATCTCTGGAGCAGCTGGAACGCACAGAGCTCCACACACAGCTGGATTCCAGTTTGGTTCAAAGAGGGAGTGTTTGGTGAGGAAAAAAGCCCTTCTCTAAAACCAAAACTAAACATCACCTGCCACTTAGAAAGGAGAGAGGGAATGGGTTTGGATCTGGTTTTATTTCTTGATTTAGTGTAAACAGCACTGCAGAGAAACCTCGTTGGCCTCGTTGACCAACTTGAGCTCATCCTAAAGTCAAGCCTAACCAATAAAAAGACAAATTTCAGTACTCTGTGCTCTTGCAGTCACTCACCTTGGAGTTCATCCAGCTTGACATCAACCCTTGGACTGGAATGGGGGCAGGATTCCTCCTCCCTGCAGCCCTGCGACGTGTCTGAGCAGCCAGGCCTGGCGGGGTGTCTGCCTCGCCCCTGGGGTGTCTGCCTCACCCCAAACCCGTGCCAGAGACGCTCGTTTCGGGCACAGCCAGCTCACACGGGTTCAAGGGAGCACTGGGAGGAGGCTCAGATCCACGTTGCCCACATTCCTCTCTCCCATCCACCCCGGGAAATCCACGGCCCCTTCCCAAGTTCTCTCCTCCCCATCCTTAGGTGACGCCAAGCAGTGGGATGTGCTGGAGGACACCCTCCAGGTGGCACCTCTTCCAGTGGCTCTCCCAATGGGATTCACATCCACCCAGCGCCCAGAACAATTCCAAACCCTGTCAGGGAGCAGTGGAATGTTGGTCTCCCTTCAAGAGGCCTGGACTTGACCAAACCCAATATGATGATGGCAAGGACATTCCCAAGCAGCAAGTTCTCCCAATTCCATGAATTGCAAGTCTAGGAATATCTGTGGCCACCACTGCCATCCCCATCCCATCCCTCCGTGTCTGCAAAACTGTCCCACGTTTTTGGATAATTCCCATTGCCAAAGGGTTGCACGCTGGTGGGAAGCAACCCCCAATCCCTACAAAAACTGGCACGGGCTCTGCTGCAGGACAGGACCTGGAAAGAGGGTCACCGGGAGTTAAAAAAGAGCCACAAAGCTGGAATTCTATGGGAGAGGGATGCTCAGAGCTGGGGGGGGTCTCACCTGGGCTCCTGGAGCTGCAGCTGCGAAGCCCCATCCCGAGCCAGCTTCCACCTGGGAATTCCATATCCACCTGCCCCCCTTTCCTGGGAGGGATGGGGAGGGCAGAGCAGGGAGTGGGGCTGGACCCAAAACCCAACCAGTCCCAGAGAAATAGGTCACCACAGGGAAGCTTCGTTCTGGGAACGACGGCGTCAGGCGGAGCGGCGGGACGGCATCTCTGACAGGATCTGACCAAGCCACCCGAGCTTCATCCTGCTGGAAGGTCCTGGGATGTCCTCTGGATCACACAGACGCCCTGCCCAGATGAGCTAATGGCTCATGCTCCAGGCTTTCATCCTTGAATCCCAAGACCTTGTGAGATGCTATCTGGGTTGATATTTGATGAGCAAGCGAGTCCTGCTCCATCCCGTGCGGTCACCGCGACTTCAGCCCTTTCCCTTGTGATCTTCCCTCGTGCTCCCATGTTTTTTTTGGTCATTAGCTCTGGAATTAGCATGTTTAAGCCTCCAAAATTACCATATTTAATGCAGCACCGTGGTTATTCGGGTGCTGTCACAGCAGCTCTGGCTGCGCCGCCTCCCAGCGATTCCTTGGCTGGAACGGGTTATTCCTAAATAGTCTCCAAAGGAGGCAGCAGGAAGGTCTTATCCTCCCACCAGCACCCAGAAAACCTTCCTTAGCTTTTTTGTCCCATCCCTGGAAGTTCTCAAGGCTGGGTTGGACAGGGCTCGGAGCAAACTGGTCTAGTGGGAGCAGTGAGATGATTTTGAAAGGTCCCTTCCAACCCCAAACCCTTTTATTCCATAATTTTACCCCGGAGTGAGGTGGAAATGTGGACTGTGACTCATCCCAACATCCACGTGAGGTTTTTTTCCTGCCAAACCTCGGTGTCTCGTGGAAGATGCAGGACAGACATGGAGAGGGAGCTTCAGTGCTCCCTCAGTGGGAGATCAGCCAGGGAATCCCGTGGCATGGAAGGGGGGGAATAAAACCAGGACTGAAGTCGCTCCTGGGAGTGGGATTTTGGAGCTGGGAAAGGCCTGGGAGGGGTGGGAACTCAGCCAGCTGGGAATGAGGACTGACACTTCCATCGGACACAGGGATAAGGTGACATCTTTTAATGTGCAGGGGGGAAAAAAAATTACACCCCCCCAACTTCCAGGAAAGGGGTCCCCAAGGATTCAGTTTTCCCTGCGACTTTCCCAAAGGAAAAGGGCACATTTCCAGGTCTCACCCAGGAGAGAAGGTAGGAAAAAGCCGTGATATTCTACTACTCCTCTACACTGGGGCCATCCAGGGCTTTGAGGGGGAAAAGTGGGAATTCCTGGCCGGGTCTCCCTTAATTCCATTTTCAGATTCTAATTTAGAGCAAAGGCCCTGCCTTTGCCTCAAGGAAATCCCGAAGGAAATGCCGGCTGGAAGTGGGGGTGGGAGGGGATGCCTTACAAACCCTCCCCCACCACGGGAAAGCTCTGCTCATTTTTAATCTCAGTTTAAGTGCATTACAGATGATTAAAACCTGTTCTCATCAAAATCCCCTTTGACGAGCCCCTTTGGGGGAAGGGGGGAACTGGGCACCCCTTTTCCCTTCCCTGAGCCCCCTTTTCTGCCCCTGCACCCCCTTCCCTGCCTCTGTTCCCCTTCCCGTTCCTTCCTTGAATTCCCTTCCCTGCACCCCCTGCCCTGAGTCCCTTTACCTGTCCCTGCACACCCTTGTAGCCCCTCCCCATCTCCCCTTCCCTGACCTTGCACCCCCTTTTCCTTCCCCCGCACCCCTTCTCTTCCCACTTCCCTGCACCCCATTCCTTCTCGTGAATCCCCTTCCCTGCTCCTGCACCTCGCTCCCTTCCCCCTTCCCTGTTCATTGTCCACCCTTCCCTTCCCTTCCCAAACCTTCCCTTCCCAAACCTTCCCTTCCCAAACCTTCCCTTCCCAAACCTTCCCTTCCCAAACCTTCCCTTCCCTTATCTCCTTTTCCCCGCTTTTTCCCCCTGCACCCTTCCTTCCTCACACCTCCTCCCCTCAGCCCTCTTCCCTTCCCTGCACCCCATTCCCTGCTCCTGCACCCGGGCAGGGACTACATTTCCCGACAAGCCACGCGGCAGCGACCGGTGACGGCGGCGGAAGCGGCCGAACCCAGCCGAGCCCCCTCCGAGCCGACCCGAACCCAGCCGACCGCATCCGAACTCACTCCAGTGCACCCGAACTCACCCGAGCGGAGCCGAGCCCCCTCCGAGCCGACCCGAGTAGTCCCGAGCGCAGCCGAGCACCTCCCGAGCGGCTCCGAGCGCAGCCGAGCGGCCCCGAGCGCAGCCGAGGGTGAGACGCGCCCCCCGCCCCATTAAAGGGCCATTTGGGGGTTTAGGAGCACCCCCAAACTGGGGGGTCGGGGGGGAATAGAAGCGGGAGGGGTCCCCAAAGTGGGGGGGCAGGAGGGCGGGAGGCGCAGCGGGTGGAGGGGGGTGCAGGAGTGGGATTTGGGGGGCGGAGGGGATTAGGACAGGATTTGGGGTGCAGGGCGCACACCTGGGTGCAGACTTGGTTTTTGGGGTGGAAACCTGGGGGTTGGGGTGCAGGGGAGGTTTGGGGTGCACAGCTGGGATTTGGGGTGCACAGCTGGGATTTGGGATACAGGGAGCACAGCTGGGTGCAGGCTTGGGTTTTGGGGTGGAAACCT